CCTTTACCTGGCTCCTTCCACAAAAAGCCATTTCTCCATTGGCTTTTGGATTATTGCTGAAATCGAATTTACGTCACCACCGCTAAGCTAAAGGAGGCTAATGTTGGGCTATAAAGGAACTACAGCACGGTCACATGACTTAACGTCACCACCGCTAAGCTAAAGGTGGCTAATGTTGGGCTATAAAGGAACTACAGCACGGTCACATGACTTCACGTCACCACCGCTAAGCTAAAGGTGGCTATTGTTGGGCTATAATGAACTAGCACGGTCACATGACTTCACGTCAACACCGCTAAGCTAAAGGTGGCTATTGTTGGGCTATAATGAACTAGCACGGTCACATGACTTCACGTCAACACCGCTAAGCTAAAGGTGGCTAATGTTGGGCTATAAAGGAACTACAGCACGGTCACATGACTTCACGTCAACACCGCTAAGCTAAAGGTGGCTATTGTTGGGCTATAATGAACTAGCACGGTCACATGACTTCACGTCAACACCGCTAAGCTAAAGGAGGCTAATGTTGGGCTATAAAGGAACTACAGCACGGTCACATGACTTCACGTCACCACCGCTAAGCTAAAGGAGGCTAATGTTGGGCTATAAAGGAACAACAGCACGGTCACATGACTTCACGTCACCACCGCTAAGCTAAAGGTGGCTAATGTTGGGCTATAAAGGAACGATAGCACGGTCACATGACTTCACGTCACCAGCGCTAAGCTAAAGGTGGCTAATGTTGGGCTATAAAGGAACTACAGCACGGTCACATGACTTCACATCACCAGCGCTAAGCTAAAGGTGGCTAATGTTGGGATATAAAAGAACTACAGCACGGTCACATGACTTCACGTCACCAGCGCTAAGCTAAAGGTGGCTAATGTTGGGCTATAAAGGAACTACAGCACGGTCACATGACTTCACATCACCAGCGCTAAGCTAAAGGTGGCTAATGTTGGGATATAAAAGAACTACAGCACGGTCACATGACTTCACGTCACCAGCGCTAAGCTAAAGGTGGCACTATCCGATGTTTAAATTATTCATCACTTTAAATGCTGTGACTGTTAGGAATTGTATCTCCTTTCCTTTCCTAAAAGATGATCCGGTGTTTCCTAAAGGAGATAACAAAGGAAGCATTGAAGCTCCTTTCCTATCATCTAGATAATCAGCTCTTATCATGGCTGCAGCTCAGCGACGTCTGGGTCGATTCCCTCCGTTAGAAACCGCATGTACATGTGTTGAACGAGATATATATCTATCAACAGGTGACATAAGCATTGAAAGCTGCTTCACACTGACATCTATGGACCTTATTTCCAATGGTACATTAAATCTATCTGACACGCAATACCGTTTTTGTTGTCAACAGTGAGATGTGTTTGTTGGTTTTCTGCTGAAGAATCCTCAGAAATCATGAATGGATTTTGCAGACATGTGGAGATGGGATCAGTCTAAATGCTGGATGCTTGCTTGGGGTTTTGGTTTGGATCTGTGTGTGGCATTACATCCATGAAACCGATTTATATCCATGGTACGTCTCTTAAAGAGGACGCCTGATATCTGAGCTGCTGAAAATCACTTTTGGTGCAGAGGCTGCTGATGTGGATATGTGTTTAAGTGCCAGATTTATGGATGAACAGGATCCATCTGATCACATGACTCTTACACTGTAAACAAAATATTGGAATTGGTTCCAACTCTGGCATGATTAATCCTACAAGTAAACATGTGGAAATGTTTAATCTTCTTACTTCTCAGGTTTATAAATATTGTTTTGCCACTTTAAATAACATGTTGTGTTTATCAGGTTGAAATGCACTTTTTTAGATGTTTTGAAGAAAGCAGGGTTCTGCAAAAATCAGCTGTTTTGTTGCTCAATGGATGAAGTTTACGGAGCACTTTTATATGAAACAGTTGGAGGTGAAACAGGAAGTGTTGCTGTGTTTGACTGGATCAGATAATACATGAATCTGTGGCATCTCTGTTAGTGAAGACGTTCATAAATTAATCATCGAGACAGTCTGATGCACGATGCCGTTTCCATGGAGACTGGCTGCTGTGTGTGTGTGTGTGTGTGTGTGGGTGTGTGTGTGTGTGGGTGTGCGTGTGTGTGTGTGTGTGTGTGTGTGTGTGTGTGTGTGTGTGTGTGTGTGTGTGTGTGTGTGTGTGTGTGTGTTTGCGCGTGTGTGTGTGGTGGAATTTAACCAATACCAACTAACAAATAATTATGAAATGGTGAGGAAACCTTCCTGTTATACTGAAATGAAGATACTTCAAATAAGACAGTCTTTTAAGGAGTTTATTTTAAGTGCAAAACTCAGAAGGTCTGCAGAGGGTCAGAGAGTCACATTTTCATACAAAGAATAGACGAGGAGGTGTTAAGATAGACAACAAAACATACCTGCTAGCAACAGGAGAGACATTACAACATTCACATGGAGTCTCTGCCCTTTGTTAAATGTGCAGCTTTGTTTCGTCTGCGTTCATCTATCAATTGATAAATCAACGACATCTAATGCATAAAGACAGACTGCAGAGACTTCACTGAACTCATTTCAGTTTCCAAGGAAACGTCATTTACAGATTTATAGAGCAAAAACTCTCAAGAGATCATTTTTAGTGGCAGTTTGATGAAGATATGAATGATTTAAACTGGCTGTGTGTCTCTACTTTAAAGAGTCCTCTCCTGCTGATGTTCAGGTGTATATCAGTATGTAGTGTCTCTACTTTAAAGAGTCCTCTCCTGCTGATGTTCAGGTGTATATCAGTATGTAGTGTCTCTACTTTAAAGAGTCCTCTCCTGCTGATGTTCAGGTGTATATCAGTATGCAGTGTCTCTACTTTAAAGAGTCCTCTCCTGCTGATGTTCAGGTGTATATCAGTATGTAGTGTCTCTACTTTAAAGAGTCCTCTCCTGCTGATGTTCAGGTGTATATCAGTATGTAGTGTCTCTACTTTAAAGAGTCCTCTCCTGCTGATGTTCAGGTGTATATCAGTATGTAGTGTCTCTACTTTAAAGAGTCCTCTCCTGCTGATGTTCAGGTGTATATCAGTATGTAGTGTCTCTACTTTAAAGAGTCCTCTCCTGCTGATGTTCAGGTGTATATCAGTATGCAGTGTCTCTACTTTAAAGAGTCCTCTCCTGCTGATGTTCAGGTGTATATCAGTATGTAGTGTCTCTACTTTAAAGAGTCCTCTCCTGCTGATGTTCAGGTGTATATCAGTATGTAGTGTCTCTACTTTAAAGAGTCCTCTCCTGCTGATGTTCAGGTGTATATCAGTATGTAGTGTCTCTACTTTAAAGAGTCCTCTCCTGCTGATGTTCAGGTGTATATCAGTATGTAGTGTCTCTACTTTAAAGAGTCCTCTCCTGCTGATGTTCAGGTGTATATCAGTATGTAGTGTCTCTCCTTTAAAGAGTCCTCTCCTGCTGATGTTCAGGTGTATATCAGTATGTAGTGTCTCTACTTTAAAGAGTCCTCTCCTGCTGATGTTCAGGTGTATATCAGTATGTAGTGTCTCTACTTTAAAGAGTCCTCTCCTGCTGATGTTCAGGTGTATATCAGTATGTAGTGTCTCTACTTTAAAGAGTCCTCTCCTGCTGATGTTCAGGTGTATATCAGTATGTAGTGTCTCTCCTTTAAAGAGTCCTCTCCTGCTGATGTTCAGGTGTATATCAGTATGTAGTGTCTCTACTTTAAAGAGTCCTCTCCTGCTGATGTTCAGGTGTATATCAGTATGTAGTGTCTCTACTTTAAAGAGTCCTCTCCTGCTGATGTTCAGGTGTATATCAGTATGTAGTGTCTCTACTTTAAAGAGTCCTCTCCTGCTGATGTTCAGGTGTATATCAGTATGTAGTGCCTCTACTTTAAAGAGTCCTCTCCTGCTGATGTTCAGGTGTATATCAGTATGTAGTGTCTCTACTTTAAAGAGTCCTCTCCTGCTGATGTTCAGGTGTATATCAGTATGTAGTGTCTCTACTTTAAAGAGTCCTCTCCTGCTGATGTTCAGGTGTATATCAGTATGTAGTGTCTCTACTTTAAAGAGTCCTCTCCTGCTGATGTTCAGGTGTATATCAGTATGTAGTGTCTCTACTTTAAAGAGTCCTCTCCTGCTGATGAAAAGTCAGAATTCTTGAGTTTTCAGATAAAATACCGAATGTTGAGTCCGGAGGTACCTGGGTGTTTTTAGATATGTGAGAATGCAGTCATGAGTTTATGAGGATTTATTTTTTAGATGAAAGTAGTAAAAGCAAAAGAAAAAAATTAAACCAGATATTTTTTTAATTGTTATTCTCTGAGATTGAAGTCGGTTAGCTGGCCGGCTATGTTGTGATTGGTCAACCGCTTACAGATGTCCCGCCCCCTGAGCCTATCATGAACAATCGGTTGGAGGAAAATGTTAGAATTTGGGATTTTCAAAAAAGAAAGTCAGCATATTGTAATTTTAGGAAACAAATCAATATTTTGAACATTTCAGAAAAAAGTCAGAATTTGGCATTTTTTTCAGACATTTTTTTTTTCTTCAGAAAATAGTCAGAATTCAAAAATGTTCTTAAAAAATTCAGAATCTTGAAATGTTCTGAAAAAAGTCAGAATTCTTACGTACAATGTGCCGGAGCGCTAGCCAATAGGAGCGCAAGTCTTTCATAGTGATGTCACTTTGTTCCGGAAGTAAACCATGGAGTTCAATGGAGGCGTTTCTGGCACATTTAAGGCGTCTTTGAGCACTGGGAAAAGCGCTATATAAATGTATTATTATTAATGCATATATAATACACTTGGGAGTGAATAAGGCTGCTTCTTTGTGAAGTAAACTAAAACAACACACTGCAGAATATGACTCTCTGCCCAGTGTGTACTGAAGAACAAATACCATTTGACTGAAGATAAAACAAGATTATAACTGGGGATCTTTATACTTAATTTACAGCAGCTTTGGTTAGTTTTAGTTAATATCTTTTGAACATTTCCTCTTCTCCTCTCTCTCTCCAGACGATGCAGGCGGCGCGCTGCCCGACAGACGAGTTGTCGCTGTCTAACTGTGCCGTGGTGAGCGAGAAGGATCTGCAGTCAGGACAGTGAGTTCAATATCTCTGAGTCATCAATAACTAACTGTCAATACACCCACACACTCATCCACCCACACATATATATCACACACTCATCTATCACACACTCATCCATCCACACACACACACATATATATCACACACTCATCTATCACACACCCATCCATCCACACACACACACACACATATATATCACACACTCATCTATCACACACTCATCCATCCACACATACACACATATATATCACACACTCATCTATCACACACCCATCTATCACACACTCATCCATCCACACACACACACACACATATATCACACACTCATCTATCACACACCCATCCATCCACACACACATATATATCACACACTCATCTATCACACACTCATCCATCCACACATACACACATATATATCACACACTCATCTATCACACACCCATCTATCACACACTCATCCATCACACACTCATCTATCACACACTCATCCATCCACACATACACACATATATATCACACACTCATCTATCACACACCCATCTATCACACACTCATCCATCCACACACACACACACACACATATATCACACACTCATCTATCACACACCCATCCATCCACACACACACACATATATCACACACTCATCTATCACACACTCATCCATCCACACATACACACACATATATATCACACACTCATCTATCACACACTCATCCATCCACACATACACACATATATATCACACACTCATCCATCCACACACACACACATATATATCACACACTCATCTATCACACACCCATCCATCCACACATACACACATATATATATCACACACTCATCTATCACACACTCATCCATCCACACATACACACATATATATCACACACTCATCTATCACACACCCATCCATCCACACACACACACACACACACACACACACACACACACACACACACACACATATATATCACACACTCATCTATCACACACCCACACACCCACACTTTCCAATCCAGATGAGAGATCTCTCTCCCCTGTCTGTGTGCGAGGGGGCGGTGCAACACACTGATGCTAAAAGTGTTGGAGACCCAGCGGAGACCCAGAGTTCCCAGTATAAATTACGTCTATGTTCTGCAATAATGAAAGTGTAAAATGTAAAGAAAAGTAGTTTTTACTTATTCAAATTTCAATTCTTAATTACATTCCACTAATGGTAATTTGTCTATACCTTTAAAATAATAACTCTGTTAGCATAGCAACAAGCTAACATTATTTCTACATTGCTTGTGTATACTAACCTCTGCAGAGCGGTCATGTGACGCAGAAGCAACAACAACAGCAACCGTTCATCCTGATGAGCCCTATGTGTGTAATTAAAGAACTCGTATCCTAGCAACTGACGGAGATCGACCAATCACAGCTCTTCAATAATGTCCTTATGAAATTGGCTTATATATTTAATCCTCCCCCCGAGGAGTGAATTGTGCTGTATTACATTTTCCTTAATTAGAGATACAATAACAAAGGTGTTAATCGTCAATAAATAAATACAAATGTTCATGTGAAAGGAGTTCATTCTCCATCTGCAGCCAAAGCTTTTTAAACTGTGTAATTCATTATTAATTATTATATATATTTTTAATAAATACAATGTTCTTCATTTTAAATTGGAGCAACCGTTACAAAACCCGTTTCTTTATCCTGGAGGATTGTCTTGGTTTTTCATATTTGCTATGGAGGTAAACATTAGCATGTCATTAAAGGGTCATTATAGAAGAGGGAAAAGCACAACAGCACATCAGCAGGGGCGCCGCTTGCCAACAGGCAAGGCAGGCAACTGCTTGGGGCCCCGGACCAGAAGGGGGCCCCCAAAGAAGGTAGATTAAGAAGGTCCACAGCAACGACAACATGGAACACCCTTTAATTTACTGCAACGACATGTCGGGAAACCCCCTCAAGGCGGCCCCATGCATAGCGCGCCGTAACATGCTGCTTCTTATCTTAAAGTGGACCTATCATGCTATATTTGAATAATATAGTGTAGGACCATACCTATATAAGGCATATTTATACTTTTTTATTTTCAAAATACCAAACAGATCATGCATTTTAGCCATGCCTCATTTCGCTCAATTTGCACTTTTTTTAGCTCTGCTCTGCAAGGGCTGATTCAGTGAAAACAGCACCATCTACAGGCCTGGCATATGTACTACAGCGTCTCCAGCGCTTTCGAACGGCAATGGCCGTGGCTGTCTCCTCCTGATTGGTGGAGTTGGCCCAATAGCCGTAGCGCCACCGTCCTGACGTCAGGACAGTGTTCAAATCTGGATCAGTTTTTATCAGATCCGTTGCAGCCCCTTTTTTAGAGATTTGGGTATGGAGGAAAATAGAGAGGGTTGTGTTTTCTGACACTTGGTGAGTTCCCTGGAACACCGGGGACACATATTCATGTAGAAAAGACGTACAAAAGTGCATTTTGCATGTTAGGTCCCCTTTAAGTTTCATTGCCTTGCTCCGCTCCGGGGGGGGGGGGGGGGCTGTGGCTGTACGTGGTGATGAAAAGCTGGATCGAGGGGCCCCCAGTGAATGTTTGCCTAGGGCCCCCACAGACTCTAGTATCGGCACTGCATATCAGGGCCTTTGTGGGTTCACACATATATTTCTTTATTAATCCCAAATTGTTCTCAACATTAAAATACTTAAAAAGTGGAAAAGAGTTAACAATTACAAATAAAATGACAATAAAAAATAGTATATCAAATATAAACAATTCTGGATGATTGAAATGTTCTTTAAAAAGGTAGAAATACTACAGTAGCAGGAATATAGGCTCATAATATACTGTATGTACATATGATAGTATTAACAGATATACACAATAATTATATATCCAGAACGCTCTACCAGGTAAGGTCGATTTGAAAGATGCTAAAATGCATTTGTAGAAGACTTCATGTCATATAGATGACATTCAAATATGAGGTTTAATTAAATAATAAAGCAGAATAAATGTACTCACTAACAAAGGTAATAAACTGAGCGGGACTTAGCTTGGGAACCAGAGGGTCTACGGTTCAATTCCTGGATGGTATTTAATTTCCAGAGAGAGATTATTAAAGTATGTCTTCTTCTTCTCCTCCTCTCTCCGCAGACATGTGTCGGTGACGACGACCCCCAACCACAAGTTTGTGTTCACAGTGAAGACCCACCACACTGTGGCTGCTGGGAGCATCGCCTTCAGCCTGCCACAGGTACACACACACACACACACACACACGCACGCACGCACGCACGCACGCACGCACGCACGCACGCACACACACACACACACACGCACGCACACACACGCACGCACGCACGCACGCACGCACACACACACACACACGCACACACACACACTAATGCGCATACACACACGCACACACACACACACACACACAAACATGCACACACACTCACACACACACACACTAACACGCACACACACACACACACACACACGCTCACACACACACACACTAACGCGCATACACACACACACACACACACACACTCACACACACACACACACTAACGCGCATACACACACACACACACGCACACACATACAGGCACACACACACACACACACACACACACACACACACACACACACACACACACACACACACACACACACTCTGTTCTTTACTCGTTGTTGAATCCTCTCTTCTTCTTCTCTCCTGTAGAGGAAGTGGGCTGGACTCTCCATCGGTCAGGAGGTCGAAGGTAAATCTTGATATTGTCCCTTTTGGTTCCACATGACTTAAAGGTGGGGTAGGTAAGTTACCTACCCCACCTTTAAAGTATTAAAACAACGACCCTGTGAACATATCTTTCATTTCTAACCCTTGAGGCGTTCACTAATCTACCACAGGCCATTGTGTGTTCCCCGCTCTAAGATGGCGCCTGTATTTATTCCTCTCTCCCTTCAGTTGCCGGATACAACTTTGATAAATCTAAGCAGTGCATCGGCGCCATGACCATCGAGATCGACTTCCTGCAGAAGAAGAGCACCGACTCCTCCCCCTACGACTCGGACAAGATGGCCGCCGAGTTCATCCAGCAGTTCAACAACCAGGGTTTCTCCGTCACCCAGCAGGTGCGTAAAGAGAGAGAGAGAAAGCCCCCAGGAAGTGCTCCGGACTCTGAGGAAAACATTCCTAGTGTCCAAACGGCGGTACTACAACTCCCGTATCAGTCCGTGACGACACCCGGCCCAGAAAGACTTTCTCCCATTGACTAACATGGAGAAAGAGACGTCTGTGAATCAGAGAATCATTTTGTTTAAACTAATTAAACCACCCAGTGTGAACACGTTTACACCCCTTATTAGAATCATTAGAGTTATCGTGTCCGATGCCATTTTTGATGCCAAACGTCTGACAGATATTGGTGAAAGCTGATAGATATTAACGGCTGCTATCCATCCTAAAGACGCTATTCTCCACAGATGCCCCAGAATGCACCGCGGTTCCCATTCCCCCCATTCCCTATCTCTCACACACAGATATCTTTTGTTTTGACGTGGCTCTGATCATCTCCGTTATCTCCTTGTGTCTCTCAGCTCGTGTTCAGCTTCTGCGACAAACTGTTTGGTCTGGTGGTGAAAGACATCGAGGCGATGGACGCCAGCATCCTGAGAGGAGAGCCGGCCTCCGGGAAGAAGCAGAAGGTAACGAGCGATGCTGTAACGACTGAATGAACACAAGTAGAGGACTCAATAGCACGACTCAGGGACAGAGGCTTCGGTTGCAAACAGGTCTTTACTAGCAGAGGTTCGGTCTTCTTCTTCGAGTCCGTAGCAATCTCAAATGTCGTTCTGCCAGTATCGGGCACAGGCCACAGCTGATGGGGTAGGTTCTGCCAGGTCTTCTGGACTGCACCGGGGGGCATCGGCACATTCCAGTAAGTGGGACATTGTCTGCACTGATCCACAGCTGCACGTGTCTTCTGTGGTAGACGGTACACGACGTGTAACAGGTGTCGATCAGCGGTGTCTGCGTGGTGTTTCTTTTGAACGATGAGACTCGAGTCAGCATACCGTTGAGCCGATCTCCGTTTATTCACAACAGATATATAACGAATCAGTCGTTGTTCAATTGGTTTCCCCTCACAGTGACTCCATAAAGGAGAGGGTGCAGTGACTGAGTCCTGGAGGCTCCTCCCACTGATTCTAGACCTAGTCAGGTATTGAAAGTTTAATAAATGAAGAACACAGAATTATTAAATACAAAACACTGAATTTGTGTGATTATAATAAATGATTTCGAAATTAATATTTAACACTAAACACCACTGCATATTTACAACTGTTACACAAGTTAGGTCAGTCAGGAAGGCAACCCTAGCACACCAGGGTTAGGCAGGAACAGGGTCAGGTGCACGTGGAAACTAAATACTGCTGGAACGCTTGAACGAACAAAGAGGAACCGGCACTGAGGGGATGTGGACTAAATACACAGGGGGAGGGGTTACAATGGGGCACAGGTGAGACTCATTAGGGACGGTTACGCAGGTTCAATCAAGGGCAGGAAGTGCTGACACAAGTGGGAGGAGAGAAACTAAATAAAACATCCACTTTCTGGCTAGGACCTTACAGATGCATTATGCCTTGTGTTGTTTTGTTGTTTTGTTGTTTGTATGCTGCTGCACTGCAAACATCTCCCAATTTTGGGATCAATAAAGTACCTCTTATCCTATCCTATCTTATCTTAAGAAGCATAAAGAACATATTGAACTACAACAATTACACGATATACAAAATACACGTCCAGTAGCAGTGACAGCTCAGCAGCCAGGTGAGAGTATACAAGGTGGTAGAATAAACAGCTATTTACAGTAAATATATATATATGCACAAACATCTCTCATGGGGGCAATCATCCCACTGTAATCACGTAGAAAGATATCTCTGTTTACCTCAGCTTACATACCAATGACTTAAATAAAAGCACAGAGAGAAAATGTATAATATTAATAAATGATCATCATCCATCTACACTAAAAACACACTTCTTCTCTCTGGCCTTGTAGTCAGAGCGGAGCACGACTCCTGACTCGTCCCTGTGTTTTTTATATATCTGTTATTGTGATTGTAGTAAAGTGTTTTTATTACATGTACAGCACTTTGGCTCCACCAAAAATCGCTTTTAAATGTGCTTTATAAATAAAACTTGATTTGATTTGATCATCATAGGGGCCTGAGGTGTGTTCTCGTTACAATGACAAACATCCAATAGGAGGGAAAGAAGAAAAAGATAATAATAATAACAAAATAAAAATGCCATTGGATTATTATGGGATAGGGTGATGACTTCATAATGAACTACGTAATTGCAAGTCTCTTCCGTGTCACAAAACGAGATGCATTGTGGGACATGTAGTTTATGGGCTTCTGTAATATTCTTTCAGAGCTCTTGTGGGCCACAGAAAAATGAAGCTTTGAGTTTGACCCCTCTGAGTTATGGGATGTATCATCCAAACACTTTGACTATTCACCTTCTTTGTAGTTCCTCTCCTGTCCTGTTGTTATTGATCTGTTCTCTCTATGAATCTGATTGTGTCTGTGTTCCCTGGGCAGATCGACTGTGGGCTGATGGTGGGAAACAGTCAGGTGATCTTTGAGAAGGCCCCGAGCTCCTCCCTCACACTCGTTGGTACGTTCAATATACAACTCATAATACATTTTAATGGGAAGGAGAATACGAGGGTTTAAAACGTGATCAGAGCCTCTTTCTAGAATGTTCTTAGATCTTAGATATTTAAATCCTGCACAGCCATCATGGTGCTCTAAAGACAACATGAGGGCTGCAGTACTTCTGACTTCCTCCACCAGGTGGCAGTAACACATCACAGTGTTCTCACTGGTGTGTGTGTGTGTGTGTGTGTGTGTGTGTGTGTGTGTGTGTGTGTGTGTGTGTGTGTGTGTGTGTGTGTGTGTGTGTGTGTGTGTGTGTGTGTGTGTGTGTGTGTGGTGTGTGTGTGTGTGTGTGTGTGTGTGTGTGTGTGTGTGTGTGTGTGTGTGGTGACACAACAGGAAAGGCTAAGACTAAGGAGCAGCGTCAGTCGATCATCAACCCGGAGTGGAACTTTGAGAAGATGGGGATCGGAGGATTGGACAGAGAGTTCTCCGACATTTTCCGCAGAGCCTTCGCTTCCCGAGTGTTTCCTCCAGACATCGTGGAGCAGATGGGTGAGAAAACAATACCTCTCCCACTCTGCTGTTCCACTTCTCCATGTCTCTTCTTCATCAACATGTGTCCCCTCTTCTTCATGTCTCTTCTACATCAACATGTGTCCCCTCTTCTTCATGTCTCTTCTTCATCAACATGTGTCCCTCTTCTACATCAACATGTGTCCCCTCTTCTTCATGTCTCTTCTACATCAACATGTGTCCCCATCTTCTTCATGTCTCTTCTTCACACATGTGTCCCCTCTTCTTCATGTCTCTTCTTACATCAACATGTGTCCCCTCTTCTTCATGTCTCTTCTACATCAACATGTGTCCCCTCTTCTTCATGTCTCTTCTACATCAACATGTGTCCCCTCTTCTTCATGTCTCTTCTACATCAACATGTGTCCCCTCTTCTTCATGTCTCTTCTTCATCAACATGTGTCCCCTCTTCTTCATGTCTCTAGTCCATCAACATGTGTCCCCTCTTCTTCATGTCTCTTCTTCATCAACATGTGTCCCCTCTTCTTCATGTCTCTTCTACATCAACATGTGTCCCCTCTTCTTCATGTCTCTTCTACATCAACATGTGTCCCCTCTTCTTCATGTCTCTTCTTCATCAACATGTGTCCCCTCTTCTTCCATTGTCTCTTAGTCCATCAACATGTGGTCCCCTCTTCTTCATGTCTCTTCTTCATCAACATGTGTCCCCTCTTCTTCATGTCTCTGTCTTCTACATCACATGTGTCCCCTCTTCTTCATGTCTCTTCTTCATCAACATGGTGTCCCCTCTTCTTTCATGGTCTCTCTTCATCAACATGTGTCCCCCTCTTCTTCATGTCTCTTCTTCATCAACAGGTGTCCCCTCTTCTTCATGTCTCTTCTTCATCAACATGTGTCCCCCTCTTCTTCATGTCTCTTCTTCATCAACATGTGTCCCCTCTTCTTCATGTCTCTTCTTCATCAACATGTGTCCCCTCTTCTTCATGTCTCTTTCTTCATCAACATTGGTCCCCTCTTCTTCATGTCTCTTCTTCATCAACATGTGTCCCCTCTTCTTCATGTCTCTTCTACATCAACATGTGTCCCCTCTTCTTCATGTCTCTTCTACATCAACATGTGTCCCCTCTTCTTCATGTCTCTTCTTCATCAACATGTGTCCCCTCTTCTTCATGTCTCTTCTTCATCAACATGTGTCCCCTCTTCTCTGTCTCTTCGTCTTCACATTTGGTCCCCTCTTCTTCATGTCTCTTCTACATCAACATGTGTCCCCTCTTCTTCATGTCTCTTCTACATCAACATGTGTCCCCTCTTCATGTCTCTTCTTCATCAACATGTGTCCCCTCTTCTTCATGTCTCTTCTTCATCAACATGTGTCCCCTCTTCTTCATGTCTCTTCTTCATCAACATGTGTCCCCTCTTCTTCATGTCTCTTCTATCAACATGTGTCCCCTCTTCTTCATGTCTCTTCTACATCAACATGTGTCCCCTCTTCTTCATGTCTCTTCTTTCATCAACATGTGTCCCCTCTTCTTCATGTCTCTTCTTCATCAACATGTGTCCCCTCTTCTTCATGTCTCTTCTACATCACATGTGTCCCCTCTTCTTCATGCTCTTCTACATCAACATGTGTCCCCTCTTCTTCATGTCTCTTCTTCATCAACATGTGTCCCCTCTTCTTCATGTCTCTTCTTCATCAACAGTGTCCCCTCTTCATGTCTCTTCTCTACATCAATCACATGTGTCCCCTCTTCTTCATGTCTCTTCTTCATCAACATGTGTCCCCTCTTCTTCATGTCCTTCTTCATCAACATGTGTCCCCTCTTCTTCATGTCTCTTCTTCCTCAACATGTGTCCCTCTTCTTCATGTCTCTTCTTCATCAACATGTGTCCCCTCTTCTTCATGTCTCTTCTTCATCAACATGTGTCCCCTCTTCTTCATGTCTCTTCTACATCAACATGTGTCCCCTCTTCTTCATGTCTCTTCTACATCAACATGTGTCCGTCTTCTTCATGTCTCTTCTTCATCAACATGTGTCCCTCTCTTCTATGTCTCTTCTCTTCTTCATCAACATGTGTCCCCTCTTCTTCATGTCTCTTCTTCATCAACATGTGTCCCCTCTTCTTCATGTCTCTTCTACATCAACATGTGTCCCCTCTTCTTCATGTCTCTTCTCCATCAACATGTGTCCCCTCTTCTTCATGTCTCTTCTTCATCAACATGTGTCCCCTCTTCTTCATGTCTCTTCTACATCAACATGTGTCCCTCTTCTTCATGTCTCTTCTACATCAACATGTGTCCCCTCTTCTTCATGTCTCTTCTTCATCACATGTGTTCCCCTCTTCTTCATGTCTCTTCTACATCAACATGTGTCCCCTCTTCTTCATGTCTCTTCTTCATCAACATGTGTCCCCTCTTCTTCATGTCTCTTCTACATCAACATGTGTCCCCTCTTCTTCACGTCTCTTCTACATCAACATGTGTCCCCTCTTCTTCATGTCTCTTCTTCATCAACATGTGTCCCCTCTTCTTCATGTCTCTTCTACATCAACATGTGTCCCCTCTTCTTCACGTCTCTTCTACATCAACATGTGTCCCCTCTTCTTCATGTCTCTTCTTCATCAACATGTGTCCCCTCTTCTTCATGTCTCTTCTTCATCAACATGTGTCCCCTCTTCTTCATGTCTCTTCTACATCAACATGTGTCCCCTCTTCTTCATGTCTCTTCTACATCAACATGTGTCCCCTCTTCTTCATGTCTCTTCTTCATCAACATGTGTCCCCTCTTCTTCATGTCTCTTCTTCATCAACATGTGTCCCCTCTTCTTCATGTCTCTCTTCATCAACATGTGTCCCCTCTTCTTCATGTCTCTTCTTCATCAACATGTGTCCCCTCTTCTTCATGTCTCTTCTACATCAACATGTGTCCCCTCTTCTTCATGTCTCTTCTACATCAACATGTGTCCCCTCTTCTTCATGTCTCTTCTACATCAACATGTGTCCCCTCTTCTTCATGTCTCTTCTTCATCAACATGTGTCCCCTCTTCTTCATGTCTCTCTCTACATCAACATGTGTCCCCTCTTCTTCATGTCTCTTCTACATCAACATGTGTCCCCTCTTCTTCATGTCTCTTCTAATCAACATGTGTCCCTCTTCTTCATGTCTCTCTACATCAACATGTGTCCCCTCTTCTTCATGTCTCTTCTTCATCAACATGTGTCCCCTCTTCTTCAATGTCTCTTCTACATCACATGTGTCCCCTCTTCTTCATGTCTCTTCTTCATCAACATGTGTCCCCTCTTCTACCTCAACATGTCCCCTCTTCTACATCAACATGTGTCCCCTCTTCTTCATGTCTCTTCTTCATCAACATGTTGTCCCCTCTTCTTCATGTCTCTTCTACATCAACATGTGTCCCCTCTTCTTCATGTCTCTTCTTCATCAACATGTGTCCCCTCTTCTTCATGTCTCTTCTACATCAACCATGTGTCCCCTCTTCTTCATGTCTCTTCTTCATCAACATGTGTCCCCTCTTCTTCATGTCTCTTCTACATCAACATGTGTCCCCTCTTCTTCATGTCTCTTCTACATCAACATGTGTCCCCCTTCTTCATGTCTCTTCTTCATCAACATGTGTCCCCTCTTCTTCATGTCTCTTCTTCATCAACATGTGTCCCCTCTTCTTCATGTCTCTTCTACATCAACATGTGTCCCCCTCTTCTTCATGTCTCT